GAGTCCTCTATTGAATAGAAAGTTTTTAGCGAAACGTTAGCTCTGATTATGACAAGATTGAGACACTTACAACAGATTACCCATCAGTCGGTCCATACTATAGAGGATACTTAAATGTCTCCTTCTCTCCTATGCAGTAATACTTAGTCCAGTGTTTCCGTGGGAGAGATATGAGATGGGAGTAGATTAGATTAGGCTTAGCGGATTAAGGTTCCGCACTTCGGCTTTCGATGTTTCCCCCTACTACAAAAAAAATTAAAATATAAAAAAAAAATACATATGGTACACATTTGTAACTATTGCGTTTAAAAACTCATTATATGAAATGAGATACAAGAATTTGTAAGATGTTTTGTAAATAAATAAATATTTATTTGAGATGTTATGAGACAATAATGCCATTTACTTTTATAGTAAATTAAGTGAAGAAACTACATATAAAGACTTAGTAATTTTTTACCCAATAAAAAATTATTTTTCTAAAGAACATTTATTCGATTTTTTTTCCAAATGATTCAACGAATTTTTTGGTATTTAAGATGAAGCTTGATTTCCAATTATAAATTAACAAAATATTAATATTAATTGTGCAATCGCAATTTGGAACCTATCAAGATATTAAGGTAATGAAACACGATAAAAAAACATTTGAGATTTCTTGATAACCGAAGAAACGAATGATTTGACGCGAAAAGATTTGACGCGATTTGATCTGTTTTCACAGAATATTTAATACCTGTATAAAATACAGAATTTAATTTTTATTTCTTTATCGAATTAATTTATATAAGTATTTGAATACATTAGTGGCTTGTCTCAGCCTACATGCCGCACGACGACGAGGTGAACCACCTCCGAACCTGCTGAGGATGGCTCTGGCAGAGGCCAGGCGCAAAGGAGCCGCGGTTATAATAGGCTCGGATGCCAACTCAAGGCACACCGTCTGGGGGAGCTCGGACACGCTCAAGAGGTGAGTCACTTTTTGATTTTATTTGTGATGTAGACCTTTTTATCTGTAATAGGGGAAACTGCCCTACTTTTGTGACAGCTAGCAGGGCGGAAGTCCTTGGCGTCACGCTAGCCTCTAGGAAAATTGCTCCCTTGATCTCGAAATGGAGAGTTCTAGACGACCGCTCCTTTTCTGATCATAAATATATTGGGTACAGCTTGGACGCCTCGCGCCCGAAGCATAGAACCTACAGAAACTTCAGGAATACCAATTGGGTCCTGTATTGCAGGAAGCTTCGATCAGCTCTTCCAACCGCGCCTGACAGGGATTCGATCCTATCTGCGGACGTGATTGAGGAGCTCGTCTAGGTTTTCAGCTCTGTTAGCAGATCTACTCTTGAAAGCTCCTGTCCTCTGAAAACTCAGAAAAGTAAAGGGAAACCCCCTTGGTGGACTTCGGAGCTAACGGAGATCAGATCTTTGAGTAGAAGACTCTTCAATAAAGCCCGTAAAAGTGGCTCTAGCGACGACTGGGCGTTGTACAAGGCCGGATTGGCCATTTACAAGTCCGACTTGAAGAAAGCCGAGAGGGCTTCGTGGAAAGCCTTCTGCGGCAGTGTAGAGGGTTATCACGAGTCCTCAAGGTTTAGACGCATTCTTGCGAAAAATCCTACTCTGGTGGAGTATCTAAGAAATGCAGATAGCGGGTGGACTACGAGTAGCGAGAAGTCGCTGAGGCTACTCCTAGATGCTCATTTTCCACTGAATCGCTTTGCTGAAGAAGTGCCACTGGGGGAGCTTCAGGAAGGCTGTACAGCCTTCTTGGACCTTCTGGATGAGCGTCACCTTACCTGGGTGCTGAAATCTTTTAAGCCCTTCAAGTCCCCGAGTCCTGATGGCATCCTACCGGCGCAACTACAGCGAACGATTAAGGTGTCATGTAGCTGGCTGGCCCCTATCTACGCGAACTGTGTTAGATTGGGCCATGTTCCGAAGGCCTGGAGACAGGTTAAGGTTGCGTTCATACCGACGGCCGGTAAAAGCTCTCATGTCGGTGCAAAAGATTTCAGACCCATCAGCCTATCCTCGTTTCTGTTGAAAACGCTAGAGAGACTTATGAATCTGTACATTAGGTGCAGAATACCGAGGGGTAAACTGTTACGGGCGCAGCATGCCTATATCAAGGGCAGGTCAGTCGACACTGCTTTGCATGATGTAGTGTCATGGCTGGAGACAGCGCTGATGCACAAGGAATTTGCAGTGGGCACCTTTCTCGACATCGAGGGGCCTTCAATAACATGCAACCAGAGGCAGTGGTTAAAGCCCTCGAAAAGTTTGAGGTGGAATCGAACCTCAAACACCTCATTTTCAGTCTTCTTTGCGACAGAACTGTCGTAGCTTTTTCTGTAAAAAGCTCTCCGTCAATCTTTGCTTCAGGCTACCGGACCACTGTAGCGTTTTTCAGGCGGAAGTGGCCGCGATCAAGGTGGCGGTAGAAGTTCTGTTACGTAGTGTAGCTTCGTTTAGAGAGGTGAGCATTCACTCCGACAGCAGAGCGGCAATACAAGCCCTGAGCGCGCGAACCGTGCATTCAAAGCTAGTCAAGGAGTGTCTGTCCTCGCTAGAATTAGCATCAGGCTACTTCAATATCAGGCTCGTTTGGGTGCCTGGTCACAGCGGAATCGCTGGGAATTGCAAGGCCGATGAGCTGGCCAGGGGGTTCACCCTGGTCCCGCTCACATCGGAATGGGATCGAGTTGGTTCTCCACTAACGTCTTGCATTCTGGCTCTGGACCAATGGACCTCGCATGCGCTCAGCAGACGCTGGTCGACGACTAGCTCCTGCGCGACTGCGCGATCCTTCGGGTCGAGAGTGGATCGCAGGAAGTCGGGGGATCTTCTCGCCTTAAACAAAGTTCACCTCGCCGCCATGGTAGGAGTTCTCACTGGGCACTGTCCAATGGGAACTCATGCGGAGCAGCTTAGAATACTACCCGATGGCAGTTGTCAAAGCTGTATGAAGGAGGGTGAAGTGGAAACATCCCGGCACTTTCTCCTCCATTGTCCGGCTTTTGCTAGGTTGAGATTGAAACATCTCGGCAATCACACTTTTGGCGGACCAGAAGATCTGGCCGAAACAGATATTGGCCGTCTCAACAAATTTGTCATAGGCACAAAGCGCTTTGTCGACATGTAAGGGTCTATTGATCCGGCTCATAGGAGTTTTGGGTACCACAACGGACCGGCGTTTAAGCTGTCCAAGTGTGATCCTTCTTGGGATCGACCCTCTAACCTAACCTGAATACATTAGTATTAACTGTCTAACATGTGGCCGTATATCGTAATCGGTACCACCTTTACTATTATATAATATATAGGACCATCACTTTTAAATTAAATGCATATCTAGTATGATTTCCAATTCAGAAAGAAATTTTGCTTTAAATATCGCTGGGCGTGTACATACAAACAGATTTCCGCGTTTACACCTTGATTTAAGTTTTCTTAATTTTACGGCGGTAATATTTTAATAATTATAATACATTATTTATAAGTACATAGATAAAATGAGATATTTACCATTTTTAGTAGAAAACAACTAAAGAAGGGCTAAGTTCGGATGTAACCGAACATTTTATACTTTCGCAAAGTTAAATGGTATACTCGTTTTAGATTTCTTTGTGGATCTTGCCGCCTTGTTCTATGTTGACCGATATTTTCGGTAAAAAGTCAACTATAGGCACTGGGGTCCACATATTCAGTACCTATGGGCTTGAACAGTTTTGGTTCAATTTAAATAATTTTTGGTCACAAGGTGGCATACTTTCAACGCATTATTCACGCAAAGTTTTACCCCGATACAATCGTTGTTGCTTGATTTGCATACTGGAAAGTGAAAGAATCAAATGGAATTTAAAATGGTGTTATATGGGAAATAGACGTGGTTGTAATCCCATTTTCGTACTATAACATAGAATTTTGAGAAGAATATTATGTATCGAATTTGGTTGAAATCGGTTAAGCGGATTCCAAGATATGGGTTTTCACCTAAAAGTGGTTTCACGCCCACTGACTAATTTTAAAGGCGGTTTCTATAAAGTCATCCCATACCATCTTAAAATTTAATGTCTCTGATTTGTTTAGTGCTAGGTGTCACCCGATTTCACCCATTTTCACATAGAGGTGCTAAAACCATTTGCTTCCAGTGAATTTTGTTATTATTGCTTTAGCAGCTTAGGAGATATGCACAATAAACCTATTAGGCGCGGGACCAGGCCCACTTTAAAACAGAATTTTAACTACAGATGCCCCTCCTTAATGTGATCCTGTGTATCAAATAACAGTCTTGTATCTTATTGCGGAGCTTAGTTATGGCAATTTATTTGTTTTTTAATAATGGCGTTTTGTGGGCGTGGCAGTGGTCCGATTACACTCATCTGCAATACCAACCGTCTTACGGTACCAAGAAACATGTGTACCTAGTTTCATAAAGATATCTCAATTTTTACTCAAGTTACAGCTTGCACGGACGGACGGACAGACAATCACCCGAATTTCTACTCGTCTTTTCATCCTGATCATTTATATATATATTACTCTATATCTAACTCGATTAGTTTTAGGTGATACAAACAACGTTAGGTAAACACAACTATTATACTCTGTAGCAACAAGTTGCGAGAGTATAAAAATATTTGTTATGGATCAATAATATAATAATATATTTATATGTGCCTTATATCGACATTAACTAGGCGCTTATTGAATTAGTGAATTTTATTTTAAGTTTTTATCACCGTTCGTACACTGTGCAGCAGTAGTTTTATGTAATATATAAGTACATGTAACTGTAAGCTTATTTAATATTGTGTAATAGCGAATCTAAAATTATTAAACTTACTTAAAACTTTTTCATTCGCGCCTTAGAGAAAGTCATTCTACCAAAACCAACAATTATTTACCAAATCTGCGGTAATATCTATATGCACAATAATTGCTTAAACTATTAAAATATTACAGCAGTTTTGGTAAATAATTGTTGGTTTTGGTAGAATGACTTTCTCTAACGCGCAAGTAGAAATATTATAATAGTTATGACAACAGCTATGATACACTCACAAGTAAAGTGGTAATATTTCCACAGTTTATGTAATAAATGACATGGTGAATGTCATTGTGGTCCCATTCATGAGTACATACTCAAAATTATTGCAAATTGTTACAATTATGTGCACCCATGTGGTAAGTTCTCCACTATATGCTATATATTAAACATGTGTCTATAAAAGAGCGATCCATCTATTGTATAGGCTCAGTTTGTCATCGAAGTCTGTGAGATCCAAAACCTTTTACCTGCAAGGATGAGAAAATCATATATTTTATGGATTTGGATACTACTTTCTGCGGTATTGCCAGAAAAAAGTGAAGCATTACCTAAATATGATAACAATTCAAAGTGAGTAAATGTGTGTAAAATTCCTTTGAAAAAAAATTGTTTTGCAAGTATTAAGTGATATTAAAGTCGTCCGTTTTCAAATCAAGTAAATTATTTTCATTCGCGTTTCCTCACACCCGATTATTATCCTTGTTCGTATTTTAAACGGCCCCTCAATTAAACCTGAAATCTGTAATTGATCATCCCAGACACCAATAATATTTACAATAAACGAACTGTAACGCAAATAGGGGGAATATATCTGAATGTAAAATTATTTACAGCATACTTCTTTTATCTCAGAGAACCATACATATGTATGTATCGAGTTTGGTCGAATCAACCAAATCCTCAAAAAAGTATGGTACATTCTTCTACATGTGAGAATATAAAGATATTGCATTAAAAACAAAACAGTCAACGTGGTGTAAGAGTAAAGTTGCACACTGCTGTATTTCAAAATTTGTTTAGACAAATTATGAAATATTTGGTTTAGTATAAGCATATATAAATAGACTACGCTAACCCACATTTAGTGTTTACATATTATTATTTAGACCGTAAGACCCGGGCCTAGAGCGGCGTAATTTGAAGGGCGGCAAAATCTTTGAAAGGCCAGAATCTTAGAGGCGAAAAAAATAAAGACAATCAATTTCAAAAATTGGTTCAGATTAGTTTTTATAAAAAACTTTCTATAGAATATATTATAATCCAATTCACTAATATACTTCTTAATCTGTACAGGTAAGATGTTAATATTTTCATAGATCAATTATAGTCGTTATCGAGTAATGTTCTTTACATTCTGTGTCTTTAGTGAAATTATTAACACACGTGTATGCAGCATTTTCAAATTACTAAATCTGAAAAACTTCTCAATTTGATTTTAGGGTTCATTCAAAATTGTCAGAACATTTTTTGTTTATAAAAATAAAATAAAAAATTTTATTTTGTATCTAAGCTAAAAAAAAATCATTCGATATTCCTCTCATTTGCAATAATTTTTAATTACATCTACAAATTTCATTAATTTTTAAATTCTAAGAGCAAGAATTTCGGAAGTTCGTTCGGTTTTTATCTAAAAGATGGCGTTATTGTCCATAGTACTAGTATTACGTGTCGCATCATGTCATACCATTGATTGACTCAGTACGTTGTCACCGCTCGTCAAAGATGGACACCAGCAAAGAGAAAATCTATCGCTATATTTTAAAATTTTTCTTCGATCAAGGCGAAAAAGTAGCCAAAGCGGCTGAAAAAACTAATTTAGTTTATGGGCCCGATACTGTAAACGAACTTGTAGCACAAAAGTAGTTTGCTAGGTTCCGTTCCGGTAATTTCGATGTCAAAGATGCACCACGCGTCGGGAGGCCTGTCGTCGAAAATTGCGATAAAATCATGGAAAAAGTGGAAACAGACCGTCACTTGAGCACTTATTTAATTGCTGAGGAACTAAAGATAAGCCAGAAAATCGTTTGGAACCATTTGCATAACCTTGGATTCAAAAAGAAGCTCGATGTTTGGGTGCCACACGAACTAACGGAAAAAAACATGATGGACCGAATATACATCTGCGAACCGCTGCTGAATCGCAACAAAATCGACCCGTTTCTGAAGCGGATTGTGACTGGCAATGAAAAATGGGTCACTTACGACAACATCAAGCGTAAACAGTCGTGGTCAAAGCTCGGAGAAGCGGCCCAGACGGTGGCCAAGACCAGGAAGGTTTTGCTCTGTGTTTGGTGGGATTGGCAAGGAATCATCTACTACGAGCTGCTCCCCTATGGCCAAACGCTCAATTCGGCCCACTACTGCCAACCACTGAACCGCTTGAAGGCAGCACTCATCCAGAAGAGGCCATCTTTGATCAACAGAGGCCGAATTGTGTTCCATCAGGACAACCCCCACACGTCTTTGGTGACGCGCAAGAAGCTCCGGGAGATCGGATGGGAGGTTCTAATGCACCCACCTTATAGTCCGGACCTGGCACCAAGTGATTACCATCTTTTCCTGTCTATGGCGAACGCGCTTAATGGTGAGAAGTTGGCCTCAAGAGAGGCTTGGGAAAATTGGCTCTCCGAGTTTTTTGCCAATAAGGACGCAGCCTTCTACGAGAGGGGTATATTGAAATGGGCATCTCGTTGGCAACAAGTTTACGAACAAAACGGCGCATGACTTAAATCGGACAAATGTACACAAAGTTATCATCTTTTGAAAAATCAATAAACAACCGAACGAACTTTTTACTTTACCTAATATATTAAAGCAGTCGACTTATGATTTAGTTACATTTATGTGCTTTTTATAAATGGTGTACCACGAAATGATGATACGGGCTTTAAAAATTCTAGAAATGTAATATAATACTAAAATGAGGTATTGTTCCAAAAGTTTAGTTCAACGCACCTTAAAAAAACGGAGAGATTCAACGTCGTGAGTAGTTAATTTATTTAGAAACTAAGGGTCCGAATTTTCTGTTCCATGCTTATTTTTTGGTAGAAGTGGTAAAATGAATACTTTTACTGGTGAAGGATTTCGTGATTGGAAAAACTCAAAAGCACGCATTGACGCTCATGAAAATTCTGACTTTCACTAAACTAACGTTAGTAATTTTAAAGCTCGAGTGTTGATCAACGTCTAATAAAACAGCTCGATGAGGAAACAGCGTATTGAAAAAAAGTTTATACCGAGTAATTGAAATTATAAAATCACTAGCAATAAGAGGGTTGGCATTTCGAGGAAATACAGAACGAACAGGAGATCCGCATAATGGAAATTTTTAAGGAACAGTAGATTTTCTTGCTGAATTTAATCCATTTTCATACGAACATTTAAAATTGTATGCGCACCCTGGTAGTGGAAATAAGTCGTATTTGTCTAAAACAATCATGAAGAAATCATATTGTTGGTTCAGAATATAGTACTACAACAAAGTTCCAGTGAAGTGCAATCTGCTAAGTATTTTGGTATAATTGTAGATTTTATGCCTGATATTGCACATGTTGACCAGCTTACTATAATTATCAGCTATGTAGGTGATAACGGTAAAATTGTTTAAAGGTTTCTAGAATTGCTACCAAATATCGGCCATAAAGCTAAATATATTTAGGATGCTTTGTTAAAATCTCTAAACAATAATGGCTTGGACATAATAAACTGTCGTCGCAAATCTTATGATAATGCAAGCAATATAACAGGTATATATTCAGCCCTTCAGACACTAATTAAAACAATTAATCCTCCTTAATAATCAAGCAGACTACGTTCCTTGTGCTGGCCATTCTTTAAATTTGGTAGGATCATGCGCAGTTTAATCGGTGACAGAAGCAGTCGACTTCTTTTCTACTTTTCAAGAGCTATACAATTTCTTTACTATATCTACGCATCGTTGGGAGATTTTGGTACAGCGTACAAATTTAAGAGCTAAGAGTCTTTCTCAAACTCGTTGGTCTGCTCGACATGATGCATGTTACGCATTAGAAAAAGAGTGGTCTGCAATAATTGATGAACGGGAATTTATTGCCGAAAGCTGAGATGAGAAACCGACTACGCGATCTGAAGCTACGGGATTGCAGTGAAAATTACAGCATTTAGAAACAGCAATCCTAGTCACCGTTTGAAATGAAATTTTAGATCGTTTCAATGCTGCTAGTAAGAAGTTCTTGAAGCTCTCAAGCTGATTTATCATCCGTTGTTCAGATCTATAGTTCTCTGGTTATATTTCTTCAAGACATGAGAGACAGACAATTTTCTGATTGTGAAGAAAAAGCCAAAGCACTATCTGTAGTTCACGATTATTATCGTTATGATACTCGTCGCAAAAAAACAAGAAAAATTCAGCCAGATCAGTCACGGGTAAATGAAAGAACATCTTTTTCTGGACACTAAAGTTTTGCACAAATGTTTATTACCCTATTCTACAAGTAGATAGTTAGAGTTAACAAGTAGCCGGGCGTAAAAGTGCATATGAAAAGCTTTACGAATATTTAAATTTTTTGATGATTTATCTGATATAGATACAGACGATTTGAAAAACCTTCAAAATAAACTAGTCAGTAAGTATTCTGACGATCTGGAAGAGACGTTAAGCAATGAATGTATTATTTTACATTGTCAACTCAAAGATTCCTAAGCAAATACGGAAGATGAACGCTCTGCACAAAAAAGATGCAATGTATTGCATTTACGGAGTCATCGAGATGTTTATCCAAATTTAGACATTGCTCTCCATATTTTTTTGAGTATTCCTGCGACAAATTGTTTAGGAGAAATATCTTTTTCCTAAAAAAGGTTAAAAATCTATTTAAACGCAAGCATATGCCAAGATAGACTTAATGCTCTGGCATTACTATCTATTAAAGCTCAACTAGTCCAAGAAAATCATTATGACGATATTATCGACGTTTTTGCGCGGACCAAAGACAGAAAAAAGAAATTTTCATATTGACTAAAATAAAAAAAAGATTTATTATTTATCTGTTTAAAGTTGATAACTTATTTATCTGTCATGTTTATTAGTTTTATTTAAAAAATTATATTTCGATAAATAAAGTTATTTTAACATAAAAATATTGCATCGAAATTAATAAAATTCATTTTAACAAAAAGGGCGGCGCATCGAATGGGGCCTAGGCCGGCAGCAAGCCTTAATCCGTCACTGGGGGATGGCCAATTCAATGAAAGCCAATCCATTTATGAGCCAAACACACAAGCAACTAAAGAGCGACTACAGCGTTTGGGTTACACAACTGGATATGGAACCATAAATGTAAGACTTGTTATTTTATTTATCATATTATTTGAAGAAATATGGTACACATGGGCAAGGCAATGCTTTTCCATGCACTTGTTAATTAAAAATTCAAACAAAATATAAATTTTAAATGCCAAAATTCCAATCTTAAAATAAATTTTTGGTTTCAAACATTTCTTTTGGAACCAATTGAGTATATACCATACATATGTACGAACTATACGTATACATGTCTTTGAAAATATACATATATTATCTTCAATATTAACTACGGAATTAATTTTTCTTTTAAATAATTTTTAGGGATATCCGGGAAGTACAGGTATTTCTGCTTACAATCCAATTAAATTGGACCTAGGAGGAGTTGTACTGGGAACATTGGTTGGTATTGGCGCTATTTTAATAATTCCAAAGTTGTTAAGCGCTTTCCATGGAGGATATGCTGGTTATGGCCGAAGTGAAAATGACAACGATCTAATATCGCTCTCAAATGTGATGAATCGAATTGATGATATTCTTAGTCAAAACAACATAGATTCAACGGGTTGCATGCAACGTGCTGTTTGCAGTTATGTTCGGTCAACCGAGTTCAACTTAAAAACAGGTGTTCCAGACCAAATAGAGGAATTCATTCGTACGCTCTCGGAGTGAGTATCACCAACTATTTTATAAGTTTAAACACATGGATGTGTACTTCTGTATGATACAGAACTTTTGTCCATGCTAGTCTCAATGTCCAAATTTAATAATTAATTTTACTTGTAGCTTTCGCAAGTAGATAGTTTAGGGTATAAAAATGATGCGTATGACAATTTACTCAAATGATATACAACTGATATTAAAGAAGCTAAACTTAATATATTGAGTATATGAGGAAAAAGTCAACCAAATAATCGGAAATCATTATTTTAGGGATATGATATTATCCATTTTCGGCATCACGATATATTATTTTCAGAAACAGATATTCTCTGGATTTCACAAAGGTACCTCATATATTGACTAATATATTCGGTAAAAGTCCACATTATCGGAATCTGGTTACTAAAATCCGATATTTACTATTATGGACGTGAACATTTTAAATTCACTTTGTGTGCCAAGTTTTATTTCGATAACCTCATTGGCTCTTGATTTAAATACTGTAAGGTGAAAGAAAAATATGGAAATTAAAATTTATACATATGGGAAGTAGGCGTGGTTATAGTCCAATTCTCCTATTTTCGCAATGTGACATAAGAATATAAATGTAACGTTAGGCACCGAATTTGATTGTAATTGGTAGAGCAGTTCTACGATCCCCTGTACCAATGTTATGTTTTTTGTTCCAAGGAACACAGTACAAACAACCGTTAAATGAACAAAACTATTACACTCTGTAGCAAGATGTTGCTAGCTGTTGTAATCAACCTCTTGCTTTTAGTCAACTACGTATATGCCGAACGTCAAAGATAGAATTTTGCATTATTGGGCACGCTATGTGGACACTTCGACAGGTAGTATACTATAAAAATATTGTTGTGATTTATATGCATACATACATACAGATGTATACGTTTAAGCGGCCTATTTCTGCAAGAAATCGAATAGACTGCCGTTATTATAAATTTCGTTAATTTCTCATTAAAATTTTTTTTAATCAAATGACTGTTAAATTTTGACATTCTTGACTTTTAGAACTGGCTTTACTCGAAAATGTGTCAATTGTTCTAAATTGTTTAAAATAATTTTAAGAACACACAAGTTGTCTTCGACTCGCCAAGCTCTTACTCTCTAGCTAATCGAACAAACTAAATATAACAGATGCTCACACAAACAGGCACTTGTGTTATGGTCCTTTCTTAATGGAGAAATTTTCGCTTCATTTTGGTTTTCTATAAATTACTATAATTAATTTTAAGTCTTCTATTGTAAAAATAAAAGAAAACAAGTAAGGAAGGGCTAAGTTCGGATGTAACCGAACATTTTATACTCTCCCAAAGTCAAATGGTATACTCGTTTGAGATTTCTTTGTGGATTGTCTGATATATTCGGTAGAAGGTCAACTATAGGCACTGGGGTCCACATATTTAGTACTTAGGGGCTTGAACAGTTTTGGTTCGATTTAAACAATTTTTGGTCACAAGGTGGCATACTTTAAACGTATTATTCAGACAAAGTTTTACCCCGATATAATCATTGTTGCTTGATATGCATCGTGGAAAGTGAAAGAATCAGATGGAATTGAAAATGGTGTTAGAATATGAAAATAACGTTATGTACCGAATTTTGTTGAAATTGGTTAAGTAGATCTCAAGATATGGGTTTTCACCTAAAAGTGGGCTGTGCCACGCCCACTGTCTAATTTTAAAAGCGGTTCCTATAAAGTCATCTTATACCATACCAGAGATAAAATTTAATGTCTCTGGCGTGCTTAGTGCTTGATTTATCGCGCTTTTAGTAGTTTTTAACAGTACCGTTATATGGGGAGTGGGCGGAGTTGCCACCTGATTTCAACTATTTGCACACCGTCAATAGAAGTGCTAAAAACATTTGCTTCCAGTGAATTTTCTTATTATAGCATTAGCGGTTTAGGAGGTATGCACATTAAACCTATTAGAGGCGGGACCACGCCCACTTAAAAAAAAATGTTAACTGCAGATGCCCCTCCCTAATGTGATTCTGTGTACTAAATAACAGTCTTGTATCTTATTGCGGAGCTTAGTTATGGCAATCCGATTACACCCATCTGCAATACCAACCGTCTCACGGTACCAAGAAACATGTCTACTAAGTTTCATAAAGATATCTCAATTTTTACTCAATTTACAGCTTGCACGGACGGACGGACGGACGGACGGACAGACGGACGGACGGACAAACAGTCACCCGGATTTCAACTCGCCTCTTCATCCTGATCATTTATATATATATAACCCTATATCTAACTCGATTAGTTTTAGGTGATACAAGCAACCGTTAGGTGAACAAAACTATTATACTCTGTAGCAACAGGTTGCGAGAGTATAAAAAGAAATTTGTAATTTCATTCGCCATTTACCATTCACAATGGAAACAAGTAACGAAGGGCTAAGTTCGGGTGTAACCAAACATTTTAAACTCTTGCATCTTGCAAAATTCAAATCAGGGAAAATACCTTCAGGTGTTAGGAAACCTTTTATAATAAAAAATTTGACAATCATATTTTTGGGCAATTTTATACATATATATATAACTTACACATTGAACGACATGTTCTTTATATGGTTTGATAAAATAACGAAAATCAATATACATATGTAGTATTTTGAAGTTCGGACATGGGTAGACTAAATTCACATATTTTTGCATGAAACTTTCGTAAATCCAATATTATACGTGGAAATATGGTATATCCAATATTAATCAGTTGATTTTGGTAATATATCTAACATATTGACTGATATACATGGCATAAGGCCAACCGAAAGTTTAAAAATCGAATGTTTGTATATTTTTTGTATTGTTATATATTTTTGGCAATACAACATAATTTTACAGAATAAAATGCTCCGTGAGTTTCATTAAAGTATGGCACATACCGTCACCAACATATTGTATATGGAGTAAAATTAAACGGATGTTTCAAAATCATGTGATTAGTTATATGGAGGTAAGGGCAAGTTTTCACCCGATTTTACTTATTCTAAGCACAAAGGTACACTGTTATTAGGAAAATATCTCTCATTTTTATTGCGAAAACTCATATAATGCGGTATAAACTCACTCACTCAACCGAAAGTTCTGAAATCTGTATATTAGGTATATGGGGGCTGAGGAAAATATTGACCCGATTCAATCCATTTTTGACAGTCAGGCATACTATTATCAGAAAATGGTTCTCTCCGAATTTATATCACACACATTGACCGATATTTTCGATAAAAAGTCAACCATAGGCCCTGGGGTATGCATATTCGGTACCTAGTTATAACAGTTTTGGTTCGATATTGACAAATTTTGGTCATAAGGTGGCACACTTTGGATGGAATATACGTGCAAAGTTTTATCCCGATATATTAATTAGTGCTTTATTTGTATACTGACTTGTGAAAGAATCAGATGGAATTTAAAATTGTGCTATATTTGAAGTAAGCATGGTTATGATCCGATTTCCTCCATTTTAACACCGCAACATGAGAATATTGTAAAAGTGTTACGTAATGAGTTTGGTCAAAATCGGTTCAGCAGGTTCCGAGAAATGTGATTTCACCTAAAAGCCACGCCTACCGACCAGTTTTGATACCGGCTCTTATAAAGCTCTCCTGTGCCATCCAGGATGTAAAATTTAATGTCTCTGACACATTAAGTTATTGATTCATCACTTTTTTTAGTAGTTTTTAATAAATCCGCTATATGGGGAGTGGGCGGGGTTATCATCCGATTTCACATACTTTCATACTATCGAAAGAAGGGTTAAAAATATTTGTTGTGTGCAAATTTGGGTGATACAGCTTTATTAGCTTGAGAGATATATACTTAAAATTTATTAGGGGGCGGGGCTACACTCACCTTCTAACTTTTATAAAACAAAAAAAAATTTACTAAAATATATAATTATATTAAAAGCGATTGTGGTGACAAAAAACCTAACAAAGTGCAATGATACCAAAATTTTTTTCATATAATTATACATTAACATACATATATTCAAAACATACAATAAAAAGTGCAGTCCATAAAGCAAAGGAATATATATTATATAATAATTAGGTCAAGTAAAAAGTTCAGTCTAAGTCAAATATGTGCCGTTTTGTTCGTAAACTTGTTGCCAACGAGATGCCAACTTCATTTTACCCCTCTCGTAGAAGGCTGCGTCCCTATTGGCAAAAAACTCGGAGAGCCAATTTGCACAGGCCTCTCTTGAGGCCAGTTTCTCACCATTAAGCGCGCTCGCCATGGACAGGAAAAGATGGTAATCACTTGGTGCCAGGTCCGGTCTATAAGGTGGGTGGGTAAAAACCTCCCATCCGAGCTCCCGGAGCTTCTTGCGCGTCACCAAAGACGTGTGTGGCCTGGCGTTGTCCTGATGGAACACAATTTGCCCTCTGTTGATCAAAGATGGCCTCTTCTGGATGAGTGCTGCCTTCAAGCGGTCCAGTTGTTGGCAGTAGAGGGCCGAATTGAGCGTTTGGCCATAGGGGAGCAGCTCGTAGTAGATGATTCCTAGCCAATCCCACCAAACACACAGCAAAACCTTCCTGGCCGTCAATCCAGTCTTGGCCACCGTCTGAGCCGCTTCCCCGAGCTGTGATCACGACCGTTTGCGCTCGATGTTGTCGTAAGTGACCCATTTTTCATCGATTCAGCAGCGATTCGCAGATGGAAATTCGGTCCATCATGTTTTTTTGCGTTAGTTCGTGGCACCCAAGCATCAAGCTTCTTTTTGAATCCAAGGTTATGCAAATGGTTCCAAACGGTTTTCTGGCTTATCTTTAGTTCCTCAGCAATTAAATAAGTGCTCAAGTGACGGTCTGTTGCCATTATTTCCATGATTTTATCGCAATTTTCGACGGCAGGCCTCCCGACGCGTGGTGCATCTTTGACATCGAAATTACCAGAACGGAACCTAGCAAACCACTTTTGTGCTACAAGTTCGTTTACAGTATCGGGCATAAACTAAATTAATTTTTTCAGCCGCTTTGGCTGCTTTTTCGCCTTGATCGAAGAAAAATTGTAAAATATAGCGATAGATTTTCTCTTTGCTGGTGTCCATATTTGACGAGCGCTCACAACGTACTGAGTCAAAAAAAAACTGCCAAAGACAAACTTTTAGCGCGAATTAACACGTTTTGAGTGCCGTATAGTATGACATGATGCGACACGTAACACCATTACTATGGACAATAACGCCATCTCTTAGATAACAACCGAACGAACTTTTACTTGACTTAATATACTTGTAAACATACATTCATACAGCGAAAAAAAAAGTCAGGAGATGCAGTGCTAATATACATATATACCTATTTATATATTATATATAATAACAAACTCATATACAATAACATAAAGAATGTGCAGTGCACGAAAATATACACATGTTCTCGTGTAAACCAATAAATATAATAAACAGGCGCGAAACTTAAAAGCACATAATTGCTGACCAAAACACGCATATGCGTTTTAGATTTCTTTGTGGATTTTGCCGCCTTGTTCTATGTTGACCGATATTTTCTTTTAAAAGTCAACTATAGGTACTGCGGTCCACATATTAAGTACCTAGGGGCTTGAACAGTTTTGGTTCAATTTAGATAATTTTTGGTCACAAGGTGGCATACTTTAAACGTATTATTCACGCAAAGTTTTACCCCGATATAATCATTGTTGCTTGATTTATATACTGGAAAGTGAAAAAATCAAATAAAATATAAAATGATTTTATATGGGAAATAGGCGTGGTTGTAATCTGGTTGTAATCTGATTTCGCCCATTTTCGTACTATAACATAGAAATATGAGAAGAATATTATGTACCGAATTTGGTTGAAATCGGTTAAGCAGATCCCAAGATATGGGGTTTCACCTAAAAGTGGGCGGTACCACGCACACTATCAAATTTTGAACGTGGTTCCTATAAAGTTATCTCATACCATCCTAGAGATAAAATTTAATGTCTCTGGCTTGTTTAGTGCTTGATTTATCGCGCTTTTAGTAGTTTTTAACAGTACCGTTATATGGGGAGTGAGCGGGGTTGTCACCCGATTTCACCCATACCGTCGATAGAGATGCTAAAAACATTTGTTCCCAGTAAATTTTGTTATTATAACTTCAGTGGTATAGGAGATATGCACATTAAACTTATTAAAGGGCGGGACCACGAATACTTTAAAAAGAAAATTTGAAGTGCAGATGCCCCTCCCTAATGTGATCCTTTATACCAAATAAGAGTCTTGTATCTTGTTGTGGATCTAAGTTATGGCAATTTATTTGTTTTTGGTCAATGGCGTTTTGTGGGCGTGGCAGGGGTCTGATTACGCCCAGCTGCAATACCAACCGTCTTACGGTACCAAAAAGTTTCACAAAGATATCTCAATTTTTACTCAAGGTAGAGCTTGCACGGATGGACGGACGGACAGACAGTCACCCGGATTTCAACTCGTTTCTTCATCCTGATCATTTATATATATATAACCCTATATCTAACTCGATTCGTTTTAGGTGATACAAACAACCCTTAGGTGAACAAAAGTATTATACTCTGTAGCAACAAGTTGCGAGAGTATAATAAATAATTTGAGAAGAACAAAAATACATATATGTATGTACATATCTACAACATAAATATAATACGGCCATTTTCGCACTATATTATAGAAATATGAGACGATTATTATGTATCGAGATTGGTTGAAATCGGTTAAGCAGTACCCAAGATATGGGTTTTCACCTAAAAGTAAACTCATCTCCTCATCCTGATTATTTATATATATTTAACTCTATATCTATCTCGACTAGTTTCAGGTGATACAAAAAACTGTTAAGTGAAAAAAACTTTTATACTCTGTAGAAACATAGCAAAGATCGACTTAGTCAATCGGATGTCGTTATTAAGCCATTCAATTTCATCAAAATAAACAACCGAGCATATTTGAAACCATAGGTCAGTCATTTCCGTTGAGTTATTGGGACGCAACATATCCGAAGCGTTTGATGTCAGAAAAACCACTTCTTCAATGAAATTCGGGCGGAACCGAACACTTCATACTCTTGCAACTTGCAAGGAACAAAAGCGAAGGAACACTTTTAGTTTTTGGCAAAACCTTATTATGAACTAAGGAAAGTATCGACGTGCGTGATTCATTTAAGGAAAGAGGATACACTGTTATTAGAAAAATATTCTTTTCGAATTTCATTAAGATTTCTTACATATTGACCAATATATGTGGTAAAAAGCGAACCAGATGTTCGAAAATATATGTGTTAAGTATATGGGGTATTGACCTGCTTTGATCCATTTTTATCACAAACCATGTAATAGTGCGATTTCGAAAATTTTTGGACGCTAGATAAAATACCTCGAGGGCACTATTAATGCAAAGTTTTATTCTCATAACTTTATTGATGTTTGATTTGTATACTGTAAAGTGAAAGAATCAGACGGAATTTGAAAATTTGTTATATGGGAATTGGGCCGTTATATAGGGAGTTTGAAGAGGTGATAAATGACTTCTTTCTTAAATGCCCTTGCATTTTTTACTTTTCGGATCATCAGTAATTTAAGTTTATGCTCCCCAGTTGCATTGCAGCAAATCAGAAAAGGAACACTTTTTTTTTTAAATTTTGCGACCAGATGCAGATTTTTCAGTATGCAAGGCAAGCGTTTTTCTCCTAAAAAAGGTGCACTTACGTCCGCATTATAAGCTTGAGAATATGCAAGGCCCATCTCTGCACTTTATGTGAGTAGTTTTTCAATAAACGATTGTACAGCTACCGGATCGTTTGATAGTTTCTCGCTACATACTTTCAGAAATTTTATTCCATATCGTGAACGAAAATTGTTAAGCTATCCATTACTAGCCATAAACTCAGCGTTTGTCCCATGAATTTCAGCAAAAAAATAGCTTAGCCTTTTCTTTCAAGATTTTGGATGAACTTTGTGCATTGTTTTGCGGTTTTATTATGAACCAATTGTACAGGCGTTCTTTCATCAGTTGATATTTAGCAGATTGTATAGCTTTGCGTTTACCGCCCTTTTCTGTCCTAGCAATGTAACTACGAAAAAAACTTTATGTCAGAAATTGTAGATTTGCCAACATTGTACTCTTCTGCAAGCTGACGAAGTGATTTTTCTGGTAAATTCTTCTTTCTTCTGGTCAATTGTTAGAAAGATACTCGTATGCTTTTTCTTTGTTATTGGTGGCATTATTGATGCAAATTCAATTTAATTAAAATTTAAGAATACATAAATTAACACCACTTTAAAATTACAAACTAGCACAATTTTGTTGAACTCTTTATTCCACTTCTGACTCGTTCGAGAAAAAATTAATTTTTCCGGTTGGCTGGCCTCAAATGTAAGAAAGAGATAAAAACCTGTTTTCATAAAAATCCTTTGTTTACTTATAAAAGTATAAATTCAAATCGAAAATAAGGCATTTCCAGAACATAACAGACGAAAAGAAATATATAAATAAGTGTACGAATTTAAGAGGTCAATCAAAAAGCAGAGTGTCTGGATTACAGAGTCAAAACTGGAAAGCAATTCAGTGTCCGGATTATCGCGGATTACCCCATTATTAAAAAAACCACTACTTTCATTAAAATATCCTCCATATAGACCAACATAGATGGTTTAAAGATTAGTAGAAATTCGGTAATCACTATATCGAGTTTAAGCTGAAAATCCGGAATAGGAACGGAACGTCTGCACTGATTATATTTGATATTACTTCAGTACATTCGAAAACATGTTTCCACGTAATTTTATAATTATACTTTTTTGAACTTACACTCTGGCCAACATTATGGGAGCTTGGGTATTTCCAGGACCAGTTTTACACTATTTCGGCGGCATAAGAGTTTTAAATTTCCACTTAGGGTTATGAAAACTAGGGGTTGTATTGATTCGATTTTATCTATTTATAACATTAGGACATGCTACTACCAGAAAAGTTGCTCTTTAACTTTCATAATGTTATTTCACTTGTTGACCGATGTTAAAGTTAAGTTAAAGTCAACCGGAAATTCGAAGTATTATATATGGGGGCTTAAAAAACGATTAACCCGAATTTACACATTTTGGAAACAAGAGAACGTTATTATCTGGAACACAAGATCTTTGAATTTTTTAATATAATTCAGTCATACAAACGTTATGTGTACACACTGTTACACTGTGGAAACATTTTCCGAAAGTTTAGAAAGTTTTATGTCGTATAAATTCATACATACTTGTATATTGTATTTATTTAAAAAAAATAATTTGGTCAAATATTGATACATATGTTTCAAGATAAATTTTTATCTTTCAGAAATCCCCTCGTTGAATATCTTTTAGATGGTACAGCAATCAAAGAGGCTTTAGAAACGGGAAAGAGAGTTAACGGAAAACCTTGTGAACAGGCATACACATCCTGCCCATTGGACAATAAAAAAGCTGTTTATTTGTTAACAAAATTACTGCCGACCAACCACTCTTCAAATTCATTGAGATCGCAGTGATTACATATTAAACTATTTATAGTTTTTATTTTAATACATATCGACACGCGAGAAAAATATGCTAACTTTCAAAAAGCGTGCACATTGACAGATAATATTCGGAGTAATTTTTCTTATTAGACATAAGCAATAAAAAGAATGGTAATTTTTATTTATAATTATTTATTTGAAAACAAAGTAATTAAGAATGGACTAAGTTTGAATGTATACAATTATATACCCTCGCCAATCATATAAAAGGCTGCCGGGTCTCTGTAAATCTTTATAATAAACAAGTTGAGCAGGGCTAAGTTCGTATGCATCCAAACATTTTACTGTCTCTCAATTTGCGAGGCTCAAAGACGGATATACATTAAGACCAGAAAGTTTCCGTAAATTGTAAATAAAACGAAAAAAATTTAATCTTCATCAATACTTACTTTGTCGCCTTCAAAATATGCTCCTTCTGTAGCGATACACATATGCCACCTCTTTTTCCAATCATCCGAACATGCCTTGTAGGTCCGAGTCCGGGATCGAATTCAGTTTTCCACGGAGTGGTAACTTGAGTTTTAGAAACAAAAAAAAAGTCTGGCCAAAACCGGTGAATACGGGGGTTGAACGATGCTATTGAACGAGTTTTTGGTCTTATACGTAGCAAAATGAAAGTTTCCGGAAATTGTTTTTCTTTCGATATTCGCGGTTTGGTTCATTCAAATGGACAGACGGTGAATAAAGATTATTAGTTGAGCGTTTAGAGACTTATGCGCGAAAACATCCGTCTGGAAACTTTATGGTCTTAATGTATATGAGAGTTTGAGTATTTCGTGACCCGATTTCTCACATATTCGGAATTAAACTATAGTATATACAATATTATATTTTCACTTTTGCTAAGATATCTTACATATTCACCGAAATATATACAGTAGTTATTTAGAAACTCATACAATAGGTATATGTGAACTAGGACTCTATGAGATAATGATGCTATATGAGTAATATTAAAATAACTCATACCATATATTGACCGATATATGCGGTATGAATGCAACCGGCTGTTTGAAATTCTTATATATGTATATACGGTCTGGAAAAAATTACCCGAATCAGCTGATACGACCTATCTTATAAGAGCGCAATGTAAATTAACACTTACCACTCTTACTTCTACAGACCGTACGGTAGGATATCCGCGAAAATGTTGTATGTTTCCCGACTAAAAATGAACTTAAATAGATTTGAAATATGTTTAAACTAACTCAAAATCACAGTCGAATACATTTATTTATACATAAGTAGACTATTTTTAATAGTTGGCTATTAGTTTTGAGCTTTTACATTATTAAACATTGTAACTAAAAAACTAAATGTGTGCAAAATCATATATACAATGGAAACATTGGTTAAATTAAAAAAAAAAACAGAGCAACTGATTTTTACGTTACCAATACGGGCATAACTTTTGGCAAATTTGATTTTATACGGGCGGTAAATACGGAAGGGCGGAATGTCAGTGATTGTTTGAAGCCTAAAGCATAATGATCGGCAGCCCATTGTTGGGCACTCTTTGAACGCGCTCTGAGTATACGAGTGTTTCACACAGACTTGCGACCTTATTATACCGTAGAAACGATGACAGTGCCAGTTGTTTTCTGATTACGCTGCGAGAAAGGCGTAAGCAAGGATGAAATGATGCGAAACTCTTTGATTCGAGAGAGAGCTGTCAAAGCCCACATTTTTTATAACATTAATCATGCCAATGCCAAAAGAAAATGGATTGGGTATTTTAAAAGTAACTTTTGGGTATTTTGCATTTCGATATTATTTGTAGGTGCCCGGTTCCCGAGAAGGCCTATATAACGCATATACATTCCTTAATACGTGTATTCATATTATAAAATTTTTAAAACATCACATAACATAAAGAATTATATATAAATAATAAAAGGATAAAAAAGAAACAATACAAATCATAATAAAATATCATGGTTTTATGATTAACGTTTTAAATTAAATTAGCAAAAATACTTTAGTAGCACGTTCCTTGAAATTTCGTTTCGCACTGCTTTTGTTAGCTATTTTTAGAGGGTTTATTTCTGCCTTCGCGCCTTTTTTGATATCAGCTGTTCAAAATTCCCTAATTTTAATAATCAGGGAAACAGAATAACGGAAAAATTAGGGACAATAAGAGAGTCTCTTAATACGTCATCCTTGGCGTAAGGCTTAGTTATGCATACCAGAGAACGTAAAGTACCGAGAAGGAGCAGGTTCGACAGAGAACATTTGTCAAATTTCAACCGGGGAATTCACCTCACGACGTGGGAACTCACCCTGTGAAATATTAACACTGTTTTGATTATAGCAGAAAGGAATCTGTAGAATTACAGCTTCCAACAAATTGTTGAGCAACCTAGAAATAAATACTTACTTATATGTACCGTACATATGTCATACGATTTCTAATTTTCTTAAAACTTGTTATAATTTTTTATTTTTGTATTTTTATTTAGATTATTTTCAATTATGAGTTAAAATAAAGTAGTAGTTGAAAAATACTTTGATATATTTCTTTATATATGTATGTAACTAAATCGATGCATATTTTTGCGAGCCAAATATAAAATTAATATGATAGAAAATATACATATGTACGCATGTATTGTTGTAATAAATTTATTTTCTACTAGGAAGAAGTAAATATAATACAAACAAGTAAAGAAGGGCTAAGTTCGGGTGTAATCGAATGTTCTACAATATAATCTTGCAAGAATCAAATGCCTTCAGGTGCTGGCAAAACTTTTATTAAAAAAACTTTTGAAAAATTAAACACCGTATGTAAATTATTGTACAATCAAATTGATATCGTCTTGACTTATATTGAAGGC